AAGGACATAGAGTGGACACACATGAAAGACACGGACACGAAACGTCGTTTTCCGGGGCTCGGGCCATCGCGGGCCAGGCGGGCAGGATCGCAACGCACAATGGAAACAAGCGGAGGGGAGGAAGAGCTGGCGATGAGATGGCAACAAAACGGCGGCGCCCGGGGCTTCCACAAAACCAAGAAAACTCCCCGCTCGCCCATGCCCGCTGTTCCCCCCGCCCACGCCGCGGGCCTTCTGCTGGCCCCCTCGTTCATATGACCTGCGCCGCGATACTTGCAAGTATGGTTGGGTCCTTCGTCAGGATAGCAGGGCGGCGGGGGCGTTGGCATAATGCCTGCATTGCGCAAGCCCACCAAACACCATGAGCCACCCCGCCGCGATTGCGCCTTGGTTTTCGACAGAAGCGGTAGGGGCCGACATGTCTGCCGATGTGTGCTGAAACTTGCGCGGGCGCGCCTGGCACACTCTGCGCGTGACCCGACCGTGGCGCACCTGGCGCGGTTGGAGCATGCGGCGTGCATGGCACACGTGGGGAAGGTGGCGCATCTGGCGCACCAGGCGTGCCTTGCACGCTGGGGCCCTAGGGATGCCTGGCGCGTGGCGCACCTCACCCCAGCGTTGCGCACATGGGGTCTGTTTTGGTTCCCAGCAGTTGCCCATCCGAAGATGACCGCTGAACATGCTTAGGCTCGGCTGCTATTTTTTGTGGGAGGGCGGGTGGGGGTGATCGAAACGGCTTGCGGGCGGGGAGGGTGTCTTGACACCCCCGCCCCCCGACAACCCTCGATGCCACCAGCAGGCCCCCGAGAAACCCTGAAGAGGGCCCGCGAGATCCACCAAGAAGCCCCAGAGAGAACCCCCTGGAAGTCAGCACAGGCCGCGACGAGGCCCCGCCAAAACGCTCACCAAGTGCTCCAAAGAAGAGCTCGAAACACACGACCTCTACAAGACCCCACGACAGGCCCCGGACAAGCCGCCTTCACGACCCGAGCGGCACCCGAAGACGCCATCATGTGTGCATCGGGAAAGCCTCTCGCCAACCACGCAGGCGCGGAGGCGGGAGGGACCGAGCATCCCGAGGCGCCCCACGATGCCGCGCGGACGCCCTCGAGAGGCCTCCCGAGAGACCTCGACGAGCCTCCCAACAAGACTCCTCCTCCTCCTCCTCCTCCTCCTCCTCCTCCTCCTCCTCCTCCCCCTCCTCCTCCTCGCGTGCACGACCCAGTCTGTCCGAAGCCTGCTGCCTGCATACAGCCTGGGCCGGCGGAGTGAGCGAAGCGATTGTGCATCATTGGTATCGCAGTGCTCGTGGTGGTGCGCGTGTGCTTCGTAATGTGTCGTACACTGCCGGACTCACGAATAGAACAATCGTGGTGGCGTCCAACGCACTAGTTGGATTCGAGTGTACGTTAATCGCAGCGGTGTTTGCGATGGTATTGGCAGCACGAAAGAAACTGAACTCATGTCTGCGGTTGGACCGCGGATGATGCCAAGGGTAAAGGTGGTGGCAAGTCGTGGTCAGGGTAAATAGTTACGGTGACGGTCTTGGCCGTGATGGACATGAACCCGGCGATACCCCGGTTAGGGGAAAACCTCTAGCGTGGGCGCATCGCTGGGCGCATCGCTTGGCAATGAGTGGCACTGCTTGGCATGGGTTGGCATCTCTTGGCGCTGCGTTTCCTCCCCTGAGGAATCGTGGAATGCGCGCTCTGCAGCGCGGTGTTTTCCCTTTCGTTCCTCACCTTCCTCGCCTGCCCGTGCTGCTCGCGCCCCTGCCCTTCTTCGGGCGGCCGCCCCTCAGCGCGCTGCCGGCCCTGAGCTGTACAGACGCGAGGCGGATCAACAGGTCGACCCTGCCACGTCAAGGGTACCCTTGTGTCCCGCGTTTCGGGACCCATGCCTTCCGCATCAGTAGGGAACCGAACTCTATACACCGACGTTTGTTCGGGCCCTGCACTGAAACTCGCACAGGAAAACGGATTATGGTGTATACGGCATCCTGGTGTCTATATATATATATATATATATATACATATACACTTTTCCTTGTTTCCCCGTGACAGAATAAAAGAAAAAAGCACACACCACACCAGCCCGACGTCGTCCCTGACCCTCAAGAAAGTCCTGGGATTGGAAAACAGCCCGCCACTGGTAATGTAGACGTTCCAGTTTCCGAATCAGGGCATACTCTGGGTTTCTTCACAAGCGTGGGGTGGTACCCCCCGACGGGGGTCAGCCTCGCCTCGTCGTCGCGCCGCGACGGGAGTCGGAGCGCCTTCGGCGCGCGGTGACTGCCCGCGACGAGTGCCCATGTGGGGCTGTCGGAGGGGGGGACGCCCCCCCGACGCTCATCAAGAATGCGAATGGGAATGGGACGCTCGTGCGGGCAATCGCCCGGGCCCCTTAAGGGCGGAGCGGGTGAGCCTGTAGTTATGAGGTTGCATGGGGTCACCTGCTTTCGGGATTACTGTGATGACTGTCTGTCGCCAACCCTGCGGAGTAGGCGCGTCAGCTTGTATGACAGTGTTGTATAATTGGAGTACGGCTCGTTTGAGTTCTGTGGGCGCATGCTTCAACATTTCGGCTCTGCTTCCGATCGTGTCGGGTGCTTTTCCCCGCTTGAGGTTGGACAATCCCCTGTTGAGCTCGTGGATTGTAAAAGGCGGCACCGTGTCGTCAGAAGGCTCAGGTGGTGAAGATTGTCGAGGGGAAGGATACAACTGCTCGTAGAAATCCGCAAAAACGTTCGCAATTGAGTCTCTGCTGGTATGTTTCGTGTCGTCTTTGCCGCGCATTTCCGTGATTAGTGTACGCTTCCGCCCTGATTTAATGGTCGTAATGCGCTTGAGTCCACGGTAGTCCTCGAGTATGGTGCTGATCTGCGTACGTCGTGTTGCTCGTTTTTGCCGTCGTATCTCTTGTCGGATTTGCTTGCTGACGTCGCGTCGGGACTGTGTATTGTAATTCGGGATGTTGCGCCTCTGCTGGATCAGCGCTTGGAGGTGTACGTTGGTCGAGAGGTGCGGTCTCAGTTGCGCCGGCTCCGCAATGCTTTTTGTCGTTGTTTCCAACATGGATGTCTCAATATGGTTGCTGAGCTTTTCTGGCGGTCGGGGTAGGTCTGCTGCAGAGATAACGTCTTCGGCCGTTGTGTGATACGCCTCAACGTTGACGGGGGCCCAACTGCGGGTGGTCGTGTGTCGTGATGTGTGGTTGGGTTGGTGCTGTTCGTCGTGCGTATGCCGGTCAGTGGAGATGCGTCGTTGGAAGCAGAAGTGCGCAACCACGGCCTTGTGGTCTAAACCTAAGTCCACTGCGTTGTTCGCCTCCACGTTGCGGCATTGTCGGAATAGGCGCCTGGAGGCAAGGATGTAGTCGAACTGCTTCTCGGAGCCGTTGCTGTGAGTGTAAGTTACTTGCTGCCCCACTGGTTTGCGAAAAAAATGTATTCGTGATAACAAGACGTTCCTTAGACGCCCACGCACGTAGCAAAGCCCCTCTCGAATCACACTTCCCATACGCGTGATGTCCGATGTGCCTGGCGTCAGTCCTAGGCTCGCCGTCGTCGGCATAGTCGTCGTGCCGCATGGGTTCGATTGAATCCAGGCGTCCAACTTGTGCATTAAAGTCTCCAGCCACAATTATATGATGTTTTTGTTCGCGAGCTTCGGCGTGCAATGCAGAAAATAGCGTGTAGGTGAACGCTTTCTTATTCGGCGTTTCGGCATTGGGCGGAAAATGGGGAAGGTGGGGGTCTAGCTCCGAACCTCTGCTCAATGCGACTGTTTGAAAAACAGTGCGTCCTGTGGGGGAGACTCCACCTGCTCGAAACAGGCGCCAAAAACAGCCAAGATCTACTCCATGCAGGGGGGGAAGGGGGGTGCGAGGGCCCGCGTCGATCGGCAAAACAATGAATAAGAAAACGATCCCTAGTCTCGGCCCCATTCTGCGCGAGGCCCTCCTCAGCGCCGATCACGGGCCCCGCTCCTCAGGATCACTTCAGCCGTACCTCTCTGTTCTGTTCTTTCTGACCGATTGACATGCTCACCATCTCCAAGAGGTGTTCTGTGACCTGAGCATCTTGCCGCTGCAGAGTGTTCGACGGCCAGAAGGTTGTTTCTGTTCTCCCTGAGACTTGGAAACATCGCCGATCAGCGGCCCCGGGGTCGGGCTGGCAGGGGCCCGCTGTTTGGCGGCGAGCGAGGGGGGGGGCAATGAGAAGGAGAAGGCCTTCTCGGAGGGCGGCGGGACTTCTCAGAAGCCCTCGCGCCCTCCGAGAAGCTGTCCGCGCCTTCGGGGCAGGCTTGTGACAACTCATCCGAAGGACGGGGGACGTCCGAGCCTTCCGAGAAGGCCCGCCCCTTCTTAAACGACGCGAAGATCGGGACAAAATCGGATCGGGATGACTCGAAATCTCTGAGAATCGGCGGCTTTGGAGGATGTATTGGGCGCCGCGGCCGCTCCAGAGCGTTCCGGAACGCTCTGAGAGCGCTCCGGAACGCTCTGGAGCGATTTATCCCGATCCTGGCCTTGTTTTACTTCTCACTTCCCCCCCCCCGCTCGCCGCCGATACGAGGCGAAACCCGACAGCGCGGGCGCCAGGAGGCTCCCGAAGCTCTGCCCCGGGCCTGCCCGCAGACCCCCGCCCATAGGGCGGCCTGGAGGCCCGCGCGGCGCTCCCCCCAGGGCGGTCCGGCCGAGCCTCTTCGGGCGAGCACGGTGGCTGCCCCCCCTCGCTCGCCGCCGAGCTCTACTCGGCGACTGCGGGCACCGCCCGACCCTTCTGTCGGGCGTGTCTCCCTACAGAGGGATTTTCGACGAAAAATAAAAAGTAACCCAAAAATGCCCCCAAAAGGTCAAAAAATATTCCAAAAATAGCCCCCAAAACTATTTTTGGATTATTGTTTGATTATATTTGAGGGGATTTAAAATTTTTCGTCGAAAATCCCCCTGTAGGGGGACAGGCCCGACTTCACCCGACCCCCCCAACTCGAGAGCGGCCGCCCTGCGAGAGGCCGCGTGCCGCTGCCTGCTGGGGCCGCAGCGCGCGCGCGCGCGCGTTTCGGCGCGGGCCGCTCTTCGGCCTCTCTCCGCGCGCCGACGAGTGGAGGGCGGCGCGCACGAGGGGGTACAGAGGGGGAGGGGGCTGCTGCTCAGAGGGCTCCCTGGAAGGAGGCTGCTGCTCAGAAAGAGGCTGTGTCTGAGAGGAGGGAGCTGCTTCTCGGAAGGCGCAAGCCTGACGTCTGCAGACCGGGCCCGCGCCTCCCGAGAGGCCCCAGGGTGCTTCTGAAGAGCCCCCCCACCCCCCGCCCCCCTTCTGCGCGTGGCCGAGGGAGGAATGGGGGGTCCAGGGACACACAAAAAAATACACGCAAGTGACAGGATTCCCCCTAATTCCCTATACTTTCGGTGCTTTTGTCTTCCCCCCCACACTGCCTATAGTGTCCCATGGTTTTTCTTGGGGATCGGCGATTCATTGTGTCTGCGTGTGTTTTCCCCCCCCCTCGCGTGGCCGAGGGAGGCATGGGGGGGAGGGGGGGGCACGGCGCGCCACGAGCCGGAGCGATGCCTGCGGGAAAGCGGGTGCTGGCCGTGCCGTCGGGCACGCCCCTCCACAGGAGGAGTAGTCAAAGAAATAGTCCAAGCATGGCCTGGGGACGGTTCTTCTATTGTTGCACATGTGTGGCATGTGTTGTTGCTATCGATTATCTATTTGCATTGTCCTATCAGCTTTCGACTACTGTTGCATCTGTTGTGGCTATGCTTTCCCTCTCGCCCAGAGAGCCGCCTGCGGGAGCACATGCCCGACCTGGTGCTGGCCTGGGCGCGGCCCAGGGCAGCCAGCCCCTCTCCCTGCGCCGCTCCCCGACGGCCCCGTGAAGGAACAAAAAACAAAAGGACGGGCGGTTTTGGACCATGTTGCGGGCGTTGCTAGAAGTGCACCTGGCCCAAGGTGGCCCCCAGGATGTCCAAGGAGGCCCCCACGGCCTCCAGCGCACCCCTCCCGAGGCCCAGAGGGCCCCAGGGGCTCCAAACTCGAGCGATAAGCTGGGGGCGCCTTGGGCCAGGAGCCCCTTCTGCCACCCTCGAATGTTCGGCCTCGGGGGGACCCTCGCCGGCCTCGGGGACGACAAAAAACGACTCGAGACGAGAGACCGGCCCCGGGTGAATGGTCGGGACTTCTAGGGACCCCGCGTAGCGCGTCAGGCCCCTATATGCCGCCACGCTGGTTCCGGGCAGGCTGCGCTGTCCGGCGGAAGGGGACGAGGAGGGGAGAAGCAGGCAGACGACGACGAACGCCCAGGCGGGAGGCCAGGGCCGGCGGGGCGGGCGGGCAGGCAGAAGACGGGCCAGGCGGAGACAGCAGGCATGGACCCCGCATTGAAAAAATCAGGACGTCGCATGTCTGGGATCCCCATCCTCCTACGGCGGGTTCGTGTCGTGCCGACTCCAGCGTTTGGCTTCTGGCACCGCGGGGATCGTTCAACCTTGGACGATCGGCCGTTTCCGAAACGTCAGAGCGTTCAACATCGACCGATTCTGGGTCGCTGGCGGTGTTCAACGTTGAACGCCAGCGGCGGGGTCGCCGCTGGTCAACACGGCACGAACCTACCGTACCCCCCACCAACCATCGACTCTCCTGAATCAATGGGAGGCGGCGGTGGACAAACCTCCCTTTAGGAAACCTCCCCTTAGTGAAAACGGCCTGAGGCCGAGTTCGACGGACCTGGACCCACAAAAATGGCGGCGGCGAGGGCCTCCCGCGAACCGAAAACGGCCAACTACTTAATCGACGTGTCAGAGTATTGGAGGCCTGGGAATTGGCACCAACACCAGCACAAGACGTTGCCTCCACATGCGGAAACTGATCCTAGATTTCGGTGTTGGTGGTAATATTTCGGTCACCTTGGAAACCAAAATATTACCACCATCACCGAGATTGGGATCGTCCTGCCTCGGTGGACGCACACCGCCGATCTTGGTGTTGGTGTCAACCTCTAGGCCTGCGAGGGTAGGAGGTCTATCCACCCCCGAGGGAGGGAGGGGTGGGGCTTGGACTTCGCCACGTGCCCGACGAGCTCCGAGCCCCGCCCCCACCCGCCCGTCGCCGTCGGGCTGCCTGAGCCGTGGATCGGCGGGGGCAGGGCTCGGATTTCGCCGCCGAACAAGGTTTAAGTCGAGCGTCCCCCATACAAGGGGATCTTCGACAACAACATATTTTATGTCATATATTCTCCCAGATGGTCCAGAAATACTCAACAAAATAGTCCCCAGACAAATGTTTTAACTATTCAACCATTTTGCATACTCAAAAAATACTCTCAAATGGTCCAAAAATACTTGGCAAAATAGTCCCCAGACTATTTTTGTTTAACTACTTCTGCATACTCCTCCTGTGGAGGGCAAGGGCCCGACTCCAAGCGAGGCCTCAGGAGGGCCCAGAGGGGCCACGCGCGGAGCAGCATACACGCCTCGGGGCCCCCTCACGGAGTCCGCCCAAACTCCGCCCCCCCCTGGGCGCCACTGAAGGGGCCCCAGGACACACAAATAAATGCACACAAACAAAAAATAATCCCCACATCTTTGCATATTTTCTGGGTTTCTGTCTTCCCCCCCCACTTCCCATATCTTCCCGTATTTTCTGAGGAATGGAGGATTCATTGTGTCTCTGTGTGTCTTTTCCTCTCCTGAGCCACCCAGGCCAGCCTGCCGAGCCGCGCCCGGCCGCGGCGACGAGAGCTCCTGGAGACGCCCGGCAGAGGCGCCAGAGCGGAGCCCCCTCCGAGAAGGGCGGGACTCTCCCCGGGGGCCCCCTCGGCGCACAGGCGCTGCGCAGCGGCCTCCTCGGAGCGGTCTAGACTATGGAGCCGCCCGTCGGCCGCCCATCGGCGGGCCTGCGCCACACTGCAGACCACGGTGCTGCGCGTCGATTGCCCCTCTGCTCGGGACCCCCCCCGGCTGGTGGCGAGCGAGAGGGAAGCGCGTAGGGGGGGGGGACCGGCCCAGACGGCCCAGGTGCACTGCAGACCACGGTGCTGCGCGTCGATTGCCCCTCTGCTCGGGACCCCCCCCGGCTGGTGGCGAGCGAGAGGGAAGCGCGGAGGGGGGGGGGACCGGCCCAGACGGCCCAGGTGCACTGGAAGGCGACACACCGACGCCACCGGGGCGAGGAGCCGCGAGGGGCACGCGGGGGGGCTCCCCTGGCGACGTGGGTCCCCCGCTCTCACTCGAGGCATCCCCCCATCCTTCCGTCGGGCATTTCCTCCTACAGGCAGATGTTGGACGAAAAATGGAAAATACGTTAAAACATACTCATATATATATATATATATATATACTTATAGATCTGTATATATGTAACTAAAAAACAAAACAACAAACTGTTTATATATGTGTGTGTGTGTAAAAAATCTCCATGCGATTTGTTTGACTATGTCTGAAGATTCCCCCTGCAGAGGGGGGCGTGCCCGACCTGACCCCGTTCCCGGATCGGGGAGGCCTCCTGGACCTCCTCGCTGGCGGGGGCCCCCCAACTGGTGGTGCTGGCGTCGCACCTCTCGCCCCCTCCGAACGCTCTGCGGCCCACGGGCGAGCGAGGGTCGACGCGTCCCCCTCCGAGCCCAGCTGGGGAGCCGAGGAGGCACCGCTGCGCCGCTGCTCCCCGGGCCCCTCTCCCGGGGCGCGCCCCGACCAGGACTTCGAGGCGAGGCGCAGAGGGCCTCCTTTTTAGGAGGCTCGAGACGGCGAAGGCGAGGGAAGGGCAGCTGTGCGGGCGACGCTTCCCCCTCCGAGTCCCCCCCCCCCCTTGAGCCCCTCCCCCCCGAAGGCTGCCCCTGAGCCGGCTGCACGCAAGAAGGACCCCAGGCAGGAGCGACGTGGGGTGCGCGGGGAGGCCCAACCCGAGCGCGCAGGCCGCTGCTATCGCATCGCGTTCAACCCTCGGGGGGGCCCCAGCGTGCCCGCATCCGAGGTCACTCCGGCGGAAGGTCTCAGCGGCACGCACAGGGGGGTAGGGGGGAGGGGGGAAGGCTCCTTAGGAGGCTGCTTCTTGGAAGGCGCTGGCCTTATCTATAGATGAAGGGCCCGCGCCTTCCAAGGAGCAGGGGTGCTTCTTCGGGGATCTACTGACTCCGGTGAATCCAGACCCGGGCCAGTCAGGCCTTGCAAGATCCTGCAAGATCCCGTAGGATCCTGCACCCAGCGATCCTGCAGGATCCTGCGATATCGCCAGCGCTCTGACGGACCCCCGCTTGCATGAACCCGCGTCTCTGAAGCCTTCCCCTATGATGACGCAAAGACGATGATAAAATCAATGAAGGATAAAACCAAGAATCTCTGAGATCCCGCGGTTCTGGAAGATGCCTCGGGCGCCGCGGCCTCCTCAGAGCGTTCTGGAACGGATTTATCCGGCCTTCGGGTTGGATTGGATCGGCGATGCATCGGCGATGCATCGCCGATGCACCGGCGATGCACCGGCGATGCACCGCCGAGGTGGGCGATGCATCGGCGACGTCGAAGTGAAGCAAATTGGGCTCCGCATCGAGCAGCATCGGCGATGCAGCGGCGATGCGGCGCGATCCTCCGACCCCATCTGCTCCGACCCCATCTGGGAGGCCTACAGGGCAGTTTTTGATACATAGGATTTCAAACAATATAGGATTGTAAATACATGATTAACTCATGCATAAAAGTATGCATGAACTCATCGTTGTTTTGAATGCTAAATCCCTGCATTTTCAATACATGATCCGCACGCGGAGCATGTATTAAAAGCGGCACTGTAGAGTTATGGGGGGCGAGGGGGGGGGGACGGACCGCCCCACCCCAGGCCGCGGCGCCAGGCGCACTGCGGCAGTGCCAGGGGCGCTCTGGTGGGGGGGAGCGCCACGTTGTGGTCAGGTCGGGCCTGTCCTCCTACAGACGGCTTCTGGAGGAAAAATAACATATAGTCATACAATACTCAGAGCTAGCCGAAAATAATACTCAAAATCGCCCCCCTTTTTGTAACTGTTGTTGAACACTCCTCCTGTAGGAGGACACGCCCGACTTAACGTGATGGGGGGGGGAGGGGGGGGGGGAATGCTCGGGGGCATCACGCGCGCTGTGGCCCAGAGGGTAACAAACACCCTCGTGTCGATCTGTGCGCGGCAGGAGGTCGCTCCCCAGACATGCGACGTCCCGAACTTTTGGATACGGGGTCCCTGCAAACCCCGACCCTTTCCCCGGGACCGGTTTCTCATCCTGCGTCGTTTTTGGCCGGCCCCGAGAGGCCCGGGACGGGCCGGCCGCCGGATGCCGAAAACAGCGAAAGACCTACCGCCGTGACGTTGCCCCCACGCGAGGGGGGGGCTCCGGCGAGGGCGAAGAGAAACACTCTCGCGGTGCCCTGCGCGCGGCCGGAGGTGCCGTGGCAGCTTCTGGGAGCCTCCCGTGCCATCTTGTCGGCTCCGGCGGATCGACGCTCTAACTCGACGCGACATCGACGCTATAGTCGACGCCAAGTCGACACGGAGCGGCGCAGGCCGACGCTGCCTCGGCGCTGCCCCGTCGACTCCCAGACGACAAGCGACGCCAAGCGACGCCGAAGACGGAATATTACAGGGGTGCACGAGGCTCCCGTGACTTGCTAACGAATCTCGGGGGGCTCTGCGCGCCGCCGGAGGTCACTCTTAGGTCGGGCAGGTCCCCCTACAGGCGGATCTCGGACGAAAAAAAACAGACAACCAAAACACTCCAGCATGGGCCAAAAGGGTCCAAACACATCGTCCCCGCACTATTTTGTTTTCTATCTTGGCATACTCCCCCTGTAGATGGACACGCCCGACTCAAAAATGAGCAACCAAAACACTCCAACATGGGCAAACATGGTCAAGAAACACATCGTCCCCAGACTATTGTTTCTTCTATCTTGGCATACTCCCCCTGTGGAGGGACACGCCCGACTCAAAAATGAGCAACCAAAACACTCCAAAACATGGGCAAACAGGGTCAAAACACATCCTCCCCAGACTATTTTCTTTCCTATCTTGGCAGACTCCTCCCGTAGAGGGACAAGCCTGACTCGAAAGGTCGCCCTCGCGTGCGGCCGACGGAGCCACGGGCGGCTCACGCGCCGTCCGCGTCGGCGCGCGCGGGCGGCCGCCGGCGGCCCCTGGAGGCGCGGGGGGGCGGGCGCGCGGCCCGGGGCACGCGGGCCAGGCGGCCGGAGTGTCCCGCAGGGGAGGAGTCCCTGTCCGCCTCCTGCTCCTCAACCGCCTCCTCCTCAACCGCCTCCTCCTCCTCCTCCTCCTCCGCCTCCTCCTCCTCCTCCTCCTCCTCCTCCGCCTCCTCCTCCTCCTCCGCCTCCTCCTCGTTGCTGGCGACGCAGCTTTTGGACGAGCGCGTTCCACGAACTCGCAACGTGACTGCTCGCAGGTGGCCTGGCTCCGCCGCGCGGGAGCTATTGGGCCCAGTGCGTCGACGCGGACGTGTGTTATTTGCGGGCGCTTGTTGTGGTGACCCAAAAGGGGGTCCAGCTGAAAAGGGGTGGTGGAATAGATTTGGGGCACTTGTATTGCAATTGCACTGCGCCGGAGAATTGTACTGCATTGTATTGCAAATAATGCATTGCACGCGACAATCCAGCAAAACATTTGCGCCCCGGAATGTATTGCGCGCCCCATATGTATTGCACCCCCACGAATCTATTGCACCAATCTATTGCGCCACCACCCCTTTGTCGCTGGACCCCCTTTTGTGTCAACCCGACGCTTGCGAGCATGCACTCTGCGAGTAGTAGAACGCGCATGATGAGCGTGTGCGGCCTGCACAGGCAGGCATGAGCTGGATCGACTCGAATGGTCGTGTGGGATTGGAGCGAAAGCGGGTCGGATCGCCAGCGAGTCGTCCCGGAGCGGATCGGAGAATCGGATCGCCGCGCCAAGCTTCCGGCTGGCACCGGCCGCTGCTGGTGAAACGGACAATTTCTGGCCGGACGGCCGGAGCAAAGGACTCGACTACACTCCTCCTCCTCCTCCTCCTCCTACTCCTCCTACCTCCTGCTCCTAATCCTCCTCCACCTCCTCCTTCTACCTCTCCTCCTCCTCCCTCATCCTCCTCCTCCTCCTCCATTTCCTCCTCCGTTTCCTCCTCCTCCTCCTCCTCCGCCTCCTCCTCCTCCTCCTCATCTTCCTCCTCCCCCGTCTCCTCCTCCTCCTCCTCCTCCGCCTTTTCCTTTTGTTTTAACTACCCTGGCGACCCACCCAACCCTTGCGCAATGCGGGGCATAAGTACATCAGGATTGCTACAACGGAGGCGATGATGTAAGCAGTTCATTTTGCGAGCAGCAATCGGAAGGCTCGCAGGCCCCCGATCAAGATATAAGGGCGTCGCAGTGGTTACTAACGCAGCACCCCCCCCAGGGACGGCGAGGTCTCGCTCAGGTCCCCACGGTGCCTCACTCCGCTGGACCCACCAGCAGCCCTCGAAAGTGGCGACAGTGTCGCAGATCGCAGCCCCCCAGGGACGGCGAGGTCTCGCTCAGGTCCCCGCAGTGCCTCAGTCAGCAGGACCCACCAGCAGCCCTCGAAAGTGGCGACGGTGTCGCAGTTCGCAGCCCCCCAGGGACGGCGAGATCTCGCTCAGATCCCCGCAGTGCCTCAGTCCGCAGGACCCACCAGCAGCCCTCGAAAGTGGGAGAAGGGGGCGGAGGAGGCGGAAGAGGAGGCGGAGGAGGCGGAGGAGGAGGAGGAGGCGGAAGAGGAGGCGGAGGAGGAGGAGGAGGAAGTGGAGGAGGAGGAGGAGGAGGAGGAGGAGTAGGAGGAGGAGGAGGAGGAGGACGCTGTCGATTTCCTTCTCCCTCCCTCCCTCCACGTCGCCCCTCCCCCCAGCGGGGAAAGGAGGGGGGGGGGTCTGCGGGCGGCGGCCTGAACTTGTCCAGCGCGTCCTGCTGCTCCTGCTCCCCGGGCTGAGGGGGGGCAGAGGGAAGGGAGGGTGGCGGGAAGGGGCGGGGAGGTGGGAGCAGAGGGGAAGACGGGGGGGAGCAGGGAGGAGGAAGCGGCGAGAACGGAGGAGGAGGAGGAGGAGGGGAAAAAGGAGGGGAGGGAGGAGGGAGCAGAGAAGGAGGAGGGGAAGGAGGAGGGGGACGACGGCGAAGAAAAGGAGGAACAACAACAACAGGAGGAGGAGGAGGAGGAGGAGGGTGAGGAGGAGGAAGGACGAAGGGCCCGGCCGAGGCGCTCTCGAGGTGCCCGTTCCGCGCCGTCGCTGCGCCCGCGGCCGCGGGCCACCGCGGGAGGACGGGGCCTTACGAGGGAGAGGTCCGTGCCGCAAGACCCTCGCACGGTGCAGTCGGACCTGGGGCCGAGGCACATCCTTCGAGAACATCCTTCAAGAACATTGGACCCTCCGCCGGCCACACCCACACACACACACACAAACACACGAAGAACAGACAAACATACCCTCCCCAGGATGCACAGGCACGAAGAACCGTGGGGCACCCTCGACGAACCGGTTCTGGTTTTGCGGGGCCCAGAAAGGCAAGAGGGGCACCACTGAGGCGCCGAAGCCCGAGGCCACCTCTGGGCCGACCCAGAGGGCCTACAAGGGCCGTCCCCGTGCAGGGCAGAGCCCCAGGAGGCAGAAAAAAGGGCGCGGGCCGTCCGTCCGTAGAGTCACACCGCAGACTAAGGATGCGCGGTAAGGATGCCAGGGCCTCGGAAGGCCATGTCGACACTTTGCGCGGGGGGCAGCCCGCGAAAGCGGGCAAGGATGGGCCGAAGGGGAAAGATGCAAGGGTAGCCTTGGAAAGTTGGGCACCCTCACCATGCGGGTTGCGCATCTCAAGCACGTGGTCGGGATGGCTCGTTTTTGTTCGAGCGTTGTGGGAGATTTCTCGGCGGCTACGTCGCCTCTTCAGACTGGCCCGATGCAACATGGCGACGGCCCTCCCTCCTGCCAGCACGCGGGCGCAGGAGCCTGACTGCCACGCGGCCACTAGCGCCGACAAGCACCAACACTCCTGGTGCGGATGTGCCCCCACGCCTCGACAACAGAGCGGATCCTCGAGGTCCGAGACAACGAGGCATGGGGCCTCAAAAATGCACGACACATTCAGGATCATGTCACCGATGAGCAGACCCCCATGCCCACAGGATGGACGGATCGAACCACGAACGCGCCCCGCGCTCCGCGCAGCGGACGGCCCAGCTCAAGGATCGCCTTGGTGGTCGGTTGAACTCCACTGTGCAGCCGCTTCATGGCGCCTATCTCCTTCCACCTCAGCGCCTTGCTAGTCGCAGGCCCTGGCCGCGGGCCTCAGAATTTCGGCGACAACCCCTTCGGCTCCGACGACCATGCCCCGCAGACCGCGCACCACACAGCGAAGCCGTGCATCTCAGTCACGTGCTTCCTGCCGACGATCGGCAACTCGCGCCTCTGAGCATGGGAAGTCGGGAAACGATCCATCTTCGGCGCCCGTGGCACTGGAAACAGTTGACCAAGGCGGAACCAGGACGAGGGTAAATTCGGGTGAGGATAAATCCCGAATCTCTGAGATCCGGCCGCTCTGGAGGACGCCTCGGGCGCCGCGACCCCTCAGAGCGTTCCGGAACGCTCTGAGGACGCTCCGGGGCGGTCTGGAACTTACCAGCCTGGAACATATCCCTATCCCTATGCTGGGCATCTCCTCATCTTAGGGATTCCCTTATTTTTTGAGGGCGCATCCCTCAGATTGTCATCGCCTTTTGGCGTGTCAATCTTAGGGATAGGGATAAGTTCGAGGCTGGTAAGGAACGGATTTCTCCTCGCCCTAGCCCCGTCCGATGGACCCCCCCCGTGGTCAGCTTCACCGCGTCGAGGGCCGTCGCGAAAGCTGAGGGCGGGGCCCACCGCTGGCTCCCTGAGCGTCGCGGGGAGCAGGACCCCGCCGCCGCGGGCGAGGTGCAGGGCCCTCCCCACCGCCCAGCCCCCTCTGGCCTTCGTGCTGCACCACCGGAGGCCCCGGCGCGCGCGCCGGAGCCCTGAGGACCCTGGCCGCAGCCCCCTCCCGACGAGCACCTCCGTCCAGGATGTTGCCCACGGCCGTGGCGAACTCGTGGGCCGCGCCGCCCTGCTCGACGGCGCACGCCAGGCTGCGGCGGGCCCAGGCCCAAACGTAGGGGAACAAAACGTGGCATAAACATAAAAACTCGGAGGTCCGCGCGGATTTCTCGGATCGGCGCTGGACCCCCCTCCCTAGCGCGCGGAGCGCGCCAGGGGCAGCGCCGGGGGCGGCGCCGGGGCGCCCCCGCGCCGATCCGAGAAATCCGCACGGACCTCCGAGTTTTTGTGTTTATGCCACTTTTTGTTCCCCTATCGACGGCGCCCGCCAGGCTGCGGCGGGCCCAGACCCAAACGGCCGCGGGCCCGGCGCCGGGCCGCCCGGCCGCCGCCACGCACGTCTGCCTCGGGGCTGCTGGGGGGGGGGGGCGCGCGGGGGGCCCGCCAGCGCTTCCGCACCTGCCACTGACGGCACCGCTCGAGGTCCTTCCCCAGCGGTGTCGAGAGGCTCCGAAGGCGCGCCCGCGCGCGCGACTGGGGAGATCACCTGCGCTGGGTCGCCCCTGAAACGCAGCGGGTCCACCATCTGCCAGCCCAGCTGCTCGAGGCCGAGCCGCGTCGCCGCCACGGGCCCCCGGCTGCGGGCCCAGGTCCAGCCCCCGCCAGCTTGCCCGCGACACGCTGAACAGCGAGGCGGCGATCCCTTGGCGGGCCAGATCCGGTCCGTGCAGCTGCCCAGTGCCCACGGTGGCATCGCAAATCTGGTCGGACATCGGGGACGAGACTTCCGCCGCCGGGTGGGTCGCTCTCGAGTCGAACTTCCTGGAAGCGCCGCCACTGCAGCTGGCCGCGCCCGCGCCACAGGGCGCGGTGGAGACGGCCCCCGTCTTCCAAGGAAGACCCGCCCTGCGGCTGCCGGCCGCCTTTCGCAGCTGGCCGATCGCGCCCCACTTGGCAATTGTGTTGACCCACCTCTGCCGCTGCGCTGCTCGCTGGGCCGCTCGCCCTTGGAGCACGCGGGCCATCTTTCGCTCGCGCTGGCGGCCCTAGAAGCCGGAGCCCCGCACAAGCGGTTCGTCGCCGTCTACGCACGCATGCCCGAGGCCGACTTCAAGCAGCTCTCCGAGGGCTGGCCCGCCAAGCAGGTCAACCGCGTGGCGGCCAAGCGTGCCCTCGACGCAGGTTGACCTGCTTGGCGGGCCAGCCCTCGGAGAGCTGCTTGAAGTCGGCCTCGGCCTCGCCCCTCGACGGCTGGATCGGGGGCCCCAGCGGTTCGACCTCCACCATTTTGCGACGGCCTGCCGCAGAGCCGCATCTGCTCCAATAGGCAAGAATGCCGGCCCCGAGCCGCCGGAAAACGCCGCGTCGCCCATCGGGGCCCGCGGCCCGCCCCGAAAAACTGGCCTCTCGGGGTGCGACAAGGAGAAGTGACACGTCGGTCGGAAGAAGTGGGTAAAAACAGGAGGTAGGAAGGCGGATATTCAGCTGACTGGGTCCAGGCCCACCCAGGGAATGACAAAACACAGCAAAAGCGCGTGTCGACTCCTGAAGAAGGAAGGCGCTTGAAGTAGATTGGCATCTGGGAGTCTAAAAATACCTACTTTCAACGACCGGCGTGTATTCATAAGGAAAAGGAATGGAGCAGGAAGAGGTGGCGGAGGAGGAGGAGGACTCCTGCTACACGTCAAAATGTGTGTGTGTGTGTGTGTGTGAGTGTGTGTGCGTGTGCGTGTGCGTGTGCGTGTGCGCGTGTGCGTGTGCGTGTGCGTGTGCGTGTGCGTGCGTGCGTGCGTGCGTGCGTGCGTGTGTGTGTGTGTGTGTGCGTGCGTGTGTGCGTGTGTGCGTGTGTGCGTGTGTGCGTGTGCGCGTGTGGGTGCGTGTGCGTGCGTGTGCGTGCGTGTGCGTGCGTGCGCGCGTGCGTGCGTGCGCGCGTGCGTGCGCGTGCGTGCGTGCGTGCGTGCGTGCGTGCGTGCGTGCGTGCGTGCGTGCGTGCGTGCGTGCGTGCGTGTGTGTGTGCGTCGCCAGTGGCCCCTGGAGCGGTGCTCCCCTGGCCCTGGTTTGATGAACCCCCCTCAGGGCGGACCAGGGGGCATTGGGGGGAGGCTACGAACGACGTTCAGTCCAGTCACCAGGAGCCAGGAACCAAGAGGAGGAGGAGGAGGAGGAGGAGGAGGATTGTTTTTGACATCCACGCACCGCTGCCCCAACAATAAAGCAGGATGGGCGAGTTCCTGCAGTGACGGCGCTGCCTTTGCACGCCTGGCTTGAAGCATAAATACCCCGTGGGAGAGAGACGCTTCCAGCCAGGACGTGAGTTCGAAGAGAACCGCAGCAGAGAGCCGTCGCTCAAAAGAAGCAGAGACCTAATCGGACGAGCCCGATGAGAAGTGAGGTCTGCTTGAGGATGCCCCCGCGGCCCTGCCCTCCCTTCGGGAGGCGGTATCCGCAAGACGGAGCTGTCCTGCTTCATCGTAAGTGAGTGCCCCCCCCCCCCCCCCCCAGCTCCAACCCCGCCCCGCCGCCCCGCACCGAGGGAGGAAGAGGAGGATCAGAGGAGAGGGGGCCCACCCCGAGAGCAGCCCTCGCGGGTGGCGGCCCCGTAGGGCTCTGTTGTAATTAGTGCGCCCGTGGCGCTTGAGACTCCCAAAACATGCAGATGAAAGTCCGCTCTTCTCGAACCTGCCTCGATGAAGGAAAGCACCGCAAGCTGTGCGCAGGTAGCAATCCACACCGTCTGAGCAAGTAAGAACGACTACACAGTGGCCGAGCTGGTCTGCAACATCAAGATTGGTGCGTACAGCGGACTGAATCCCAGAGCAACGTCCAGGCAAGGGGAGATCTTTCGCCCTCGAGCCTACGTAACATACAGAGCACTGCCAAAACTTGCCGCGCCTGTTCCATTGATGCACAGGA